TGAGAGATTGGTTTGTATTGTTCTTTTCTTCTGCTAGATATATTTGTGTCATTTGGGTATTAGATTAATGATGGCCTCATAAAATAAGTTATGAATTGTTTACTCCTCTTCTGGTTTCTGAATGATCTTGTGAAGAATAGGTGTTATTGGGAACCAGCAGTTAGTGTAATGGCTATGTCACTGGACTCCCACGTGTTCGACCGCAGTTTGCGTCCCGGACCCGGTGGCTTAGAACTCACGCTGGGCGCATGTGCGCACGTGCCCAAGATCCCAAGAGGAGAATGGAGGAGAAGGGATTGCGGTGTGACCATCCGCCCTGGGGGGTGATTTCTCGCTTTCTGTCTCTATGTCTCTCTCGTCTAGCAAGTGCACGCACCCTATAGCGAAAACCTCTCCAAAAAAAAAGAATAGGTGTTATTTTACAATGTGTGTTCAATTTACCAATGGGCTTAGTTAACTTTTTTTTTTTTAAGATTTTAAACTACAAATTTAACTTCAAAAATAGATACAGAAATATTTAGGCTATCTACTTCTTATATACATGTTTGTGGTTTGAGATGAGAGTTTGTGATTTCAAAGAATTGGTCCTTTTCCTTTGAGTTGTAGAATTTATGTGCATAGAGTTTTCTGTAGTATTCCCTTATTCTTTTTCTATATTTGGGAGTCCGTAATGATATCCCCCCATTCCATTCCTAATATTGGTATCTTGACTCTTAAATTTGTGTCTTACTTTTTTTTTTTTTTTGGTCACTCTACCTAGATGTTTATCAGTTTTACTGAGTCTTTCAGAGAAAAAAACTTCTGGTTTCATTGCTTATTATTATTATTTCTTCTTGGCAGAGAACATGTGCATCACCAGAGAGAAATAGAGAGGAGAGAGAAAGCTCCCCCCAGTGGCTCATGGTCACACTGCAATCTCCTCTCCGTTTCTTCATCACATTAGAATTTGGGGTGCACACACACACACACACACACACACACACCCCACACCTTTATGTTGTGTTTGTTAAGCCATCATTTTCAATCTGCCAGGGCTCAGATTTGAACTATGGTTGCCCATGTGGATTCTAGCTCTCTTAACCAACAGGATGCAGTGTTGGCCCGTTAGTGCTTTTAATGTCACTGATTTATTCTACTATCCTTACCATTTCCTTCCTTCTGCTCGCCTTGGATTTAATTTTCTGCTATTTCTCAACCTTATTAAGGTGAAAGCTTAGATTGTTAGTTTGAGAACTTCCTTCTTTTCTGATATAAGAATTCAGTGCTGTAAATGTCTCTCGAAATACTGCTTTGACTTCATCTCACACATTTTGATATGTTGTATTTTCATATTTTCTGAATTCAAAATATTTTCTAATTTCCCTTGAGACTTCCTCTCTTTGATCTATGGATTTAATCTTCAAGTGTTTGGAGATTTTCCAGTTACTTTCTGTTTTTTTACTTCTAGTTTAATTTCATTATAGTCAGATAACAACTTTGTGTAATTTCAGTTCTTTTTAACTTTTTAAAAAACATTTTGGCTATGGCTCAAGATATAGTCCATCTTGATGGAGAGCCTATAGGCACTTGAAATGAATAGGTCTTCTTCTTTTACTAGATATAGTATTCTACAGACATTAAATAAATTCTACAATTTTTCCGTACATTTTCTGATTTCTTTCTATTACTTTTCTCAATTACTGAGAGAGGGATATTAAAATCTCCAATTATAATTTCAGATTTGTCCAATACTTCTTGCAGTATCATTTTTTTTGAGGTTTTATTTTGTTGTTGTTGTTGTTGTTATAGGTTATACGCACTCATCAGAGAAACTGAGAGAGACTGAGATAAAGAAAGTAAGAAATCACCTCCTAGGGTGATGACCTCACCACAATCCCTTCTCCGTTCTCCTCTCAGGATTTTAGGCACACATGTATATGCACCCAGCATGAGTTTCACACCACTGGGTATGGGACTCAAACCACTGTCGGCCATGTGAAAGTCCGGTGTCTTAACCACTACACCATCTTCTGGCCCCCGCAATATCAATTTTTGTTTCATGTGTCTTAAAATTTTGTTGTTATAAATGTACATATTTAAGATTATATATTCTTGGAAAATTGGCTCTTTCATCATTATGTAACATCCCTCTATCTTTATACTTTTCTTGCTCAAAAGTCAACTTTCTCTGGTAGTAATATTGCAACTCCAGTTTTATGGTACCTTCTTTTTTTAATTTAATTTTTTTTATTTTATTTTTAAACAACCTATATCACAATAGTTAAAGTTTGATCCTTGGACACAAGTTATAGTTCAATCTTATTAGTCACTCAGACAATCTTTGTTTTTTTAATTAGTGTATTTAGGCCATTTATACCTAATGTAATTGTTAATACATTTGGATTCAGGTTTTCTGCTTTGCTTTACCTGTGCCTGTTTTCTTTTTCCTGCTTTCTTTATTATTTTGTACCTTTCAGACTTACATTTAAATTTATCAAAAAAGTTTTTTACTATATAGATTTATATAGATCTTTGCATGTATTACAATATACACACCTAACTTTTTACTTTTTAATTAGAATTAATATTAGCTTTTCAAGTAGAATAAGGAAACTTTACCTCTGTATAAATACATTTACTCTCCCACTTTTTGTTGTAGTTGTCATATTTTACAACTACATATATTAACAAACCTATCAGGTGATGTATAAATATTGCTTTCTATCATCATTCATGTTTCAGAAAACTTACAGTGAGAAGAAAAGACTAATATATTTACCTAGATATTTACCTTTTCTGTTGCTCTGCCCAGTGTATCTAGTATCATTTCTTTTCTTTCTGAAGAACTTTCAAAGCATTTCTTTTGGTAACAAATCTGTTGGTAACAAATTCTTTGATTTGTTTTATCTAAGAATGTCCTTATTTTAATTCTGAAAGGTTCATTTTTAAATACCATCTTTACTGGTTGTAGAATTCTCTGTTGACAGTTCTCTCGTCACTATGAAAGTGTTGTTACATATCCTTTTAGCAATTCCATATGTAATACGTTCCTTTTCATAGGTTATTTTTAAGATTTTATCTTGTCTTCAATAGTTTGATTATAATGTGTCTGGGGTTGTACTTTCTTTTATTTATCCTATTTTCTGAGCTTCTTGAATCTAAGTCTAAATCTTTTGACAGATTTTGGAAGTTTTTAGTATTTCCTCAAATATTTCTTTTCTCCTCCGAGACCTTAATGACGTGAATGAGCAGACCCATGAGGCAGAGTGTTTGCTTTCTGCGTTCAAGTTAGTAATGTCTGTTGATCTATCTTCAAGTTATCTGACTCCTTCCTCTGTCATCTTCATTCTGCTATGGGGTCTATCCAAAGAATATTTTAAAATATTATATTTTTCAGTTCTAAAAATCTCAGTTTGTTTCTTCTTCATAACTTCTCTTTCTTTGTCAATATTTCGATGTCTGTTTATTTCAACACTATTTTCTCTCCCTGTTTTGCTGCATGGTTGTCAAGGATGTTTTACAGCCCTTCATAATTCTAAAATCCATGTCATCATGGGATCGGCATCTGTTGATTGTATTTTCCTTTTCAAACTGAGATTTTCAAGGTCATTTTATGCTGAATCATTTTGGATTACAACTTGTGCAGTGTTATACAGATGTGTCCTGCATGTACACCACCCGGTGGCCAGCCTGAGACCCCAGCACTGGTCTGCCCCATAGTTTAGGATGAAACTTGTGGATGCACAGCTCAGAACTGACCTCAGGTGTTCATCTACAACTTTAAGGAATTACTCTCTTGAACTCTCTCCTCTTCATGATCCACTTCTTGGTCTTTTAGTCAAAAGGCTGGACTTCGGTTTCCTTCCCTGGCATGCATCTCCCACAACTATATATCTGCATCTGGGCCAATCAGCAGAAAACAGAAAGAGGGAAAAATAGCATAAGTATTTGTTCCCATACCCTGGGGATCATAGCACCTTTGATAGGAGAAGGAGTGACCACTGATCCCCTCTCCCGAAAGTCTTAGGTGCCAGCCTGGCCACCAACATCACTGTTGCTACCGCTACCACTAGAATGGCCATACCAGAAAAAGCGAAAGGACCATTCCACCCTTTCTGACTCAGGGGTATGTTTTTGTCACTCAGGCAAAGGGTTTCTCTTGTGTGTTTTTTCTCTGCACCCATTGTGTGCTTCTGGGTTAGAGAATGCCTTTAAGTCCTGTTTAGGAATTACCAAAAGGCAGAGAGTAATAGTGGATTCACGACCAATTCAGTGACGCTTCAATTTCTGGATTTCTTCCCAACCTCGTTCCATCATTTGTTTCACAGAGGCCTCACCCAGGCGCCCCAGGCACCCTGTTTACCTCGGCGGGAGAGATGTCGTAGCTAGGGTAGCACATTTGGTGCAGAACGTGCTTACCCCCTCCTGACGGCATGTAGAGATTTCGTATCGTTTGTTGTTTTTCTTTTTAAATTAACACTTACTTTTATATTCAAAAAAAGGCCCTAGAATTATTGTGTTTTGTCATTCAATCATCTGCCATGGGACACCTTTCCTGGAAGCACCTGGCTGGGACTATCACCTCCTCTTTCTCTGCAGGGACACAGCTAACCGTGGAGGTCCACCCTCGAGACGCCATGCCCCAGCTGCTCAAGAAGTTCTCCTTGGCTAAAAGTACGTATGCACAGGGAGGCTGGGGAAGGACTGGCAGGGAGGGTTGAGGACAGCTGTGGGCCAGGTCCCAGGCAGGATATCTTCTGAGGGAAGAGGTGCAGTGCCCTGGGCCGACGAACTAGGAAACAGCCTGGCAGCTTCCCAGGGTGAGGCCTGACAGCTTCACCCTGGGAGAGCCTTCTGCACATTCAGATGCCACTGTTTGTGCGGCTCTGGAATTAGCCACGGATGCTGCAGGGCTTTTAGCTGAAGATACGCTTCATCACGAGAGAGCTGTTGCTTCCGATTTTGTGTTTAATCTTGCCAGAGGGTGCGTATGTCCACCAGAGAGAAATAGAGAGAAGGGAAACTAAGAAAGCACGCCCTACGGGGGACGGGACTACAACACAATCCCTTCTCCATTCCTCCCTTTTTTTGGGATTTTGGGCATACCAAACGTTCCTGGCATGTTTTTCAAGCTGCCGGGTCTAGGACTTGAACCACATAGTTGGTCGTGTAGTATTCAGCCACTTTAACC